CGAGGACGGCGGTGGGACAATTAGACAGAGGTACAGTGGGGACAGTGGTGGGGACAGTGGGGACAGTGGTGGGAACAGTGGGATAGCTCAGTGGGACAGCGGCGGGGACAGTGGGACAGTGGGACAGTGGGGACAGTGGGACAGTGGTTGGGGGCGTGGAGAAAGTGGGGACAGTGGAACCGTGGTGGGAACAGTGGTGGGGACAGTGGTGGGGACAGTGCGACAGTGGTGGGGGCACCGGTGGGGACAGTGGGGACGGTGGTGGGAACAGTGGGGACAGTGGTGGTGAGGACAGTGGTGCTGGGGACAGCAGTGGGGGATGTGGTGCGGACGGAGGTAGAGACCCGGGAGTCGTTTGCTGGCGTTGAGCGGGGGGGGGTGGGGAGGGGTTCGAACTAGGTAGTGACACCCCCCGGGTTTTTTTTTTTTCTGGAGGGGGGGGTTCGAACCGGGTAGCTGACCACCTCAGTTTCTGGAGGGTGGGGTGCGGTTGCGAAATCGGTTATTTTTGAAAAATGTGACACCTCCGGTTTTCTGAAGGAGGGGGGGTTCGAACGGTTAGTGACCCCGTTAGTGACCCCCTCGGTTTTGTGGAGGGGGGGGGGTTCGAACGGTTTAGTCTTAGTGACCCCCTCCAGTTTTCTGGAGGGGGCGGGGAGTTCGAACCGGTAGTGACCCCCCCCCGGTTTTCTGGAGTCGGGGTTTCGAACCGGTAGTGACCCCCCTCTGGTTTTTTGGAGGCGGAGGGGGGGAGGGGTTCGAATCGGTAGTGACCCCCCTCTGGTTTTCTGGGGGGAGGTTCGAACCGGTAGTGACCCCCCCCGGTTTTCCGGAGGGGGGGGGGTTCGAACCGGTAGTGACCGCCCCTGGTTTTGTGGAGGGGGGGGGTTTAGGGGAGGGGGGGGGTTTGCTGGGTGGAAGGGAGGGGGGGAAGGGGGGAGCGGTTCCAGCAGGGGAGGGGGGGGGGAATTTTCCACAGTAAAGCGGCGGTGGATCACGTTCCCTTACTTTTTTGAATCGGGCGGTTTCGCTGGCTTTCGGGCCAGGGCACCCCCCGACGGAAAGGCGCAGATCGGGCACCTGTCGCAAAAGTTTCCGGGAGTTTCCACATTTGGCTCTCGCCGTAGCGTTGTGCACATTCGTGTTGCATGATTGCAAGAGTTTCACGGATGGAAGGCGGCTGGTTTTCAAATTGTGGCTCCCGCCTTACTTACCGCCGCGTACATTCGGCATAGTAGTTTCGCAAGTGTTTCCCGGATGGAAGACGGGTGGTTATCCAAATGTGGTTCTTT